ACTTGACTACGGGGCTGTGGATTTAATTCCACGTACTTTCAAATAAGAGACCGTCGCCATTAAAGATGAAAAGAACATACAGTTAGAATTTTAAGTGTATTCTTGACTATGGAATTTTATTATTACATATATATATAATTTATGAAATATATATATATATATATATATATATAATTTAAGAAATGTAATATATATATATTAATATCCGGCGTTTTTTTCGTTGGTCGTAGTCGTATGTCCATTTACACAAGTCAGAAGTGTTTTAAATAATAAAAATGGTCAATGTCAAATTTAAAAAGAATTAATTTTCGACATAGAATGAAATCCAACTTTTAATATGATCTTTGGTTCTTATACGTAAATTTGGGAAAGATTTACATTCATTATGAAAAAGTAAAATATTATAACTCTCGTAGGAGAAAAATTAACCGGGATATTTAATTTTAAAATTTGTAATTTTTGATGTCATTTTCAACTTACGTTGAAAGATCGGTTATTCAGTTTGCAATTATTCTAGAAAATACGTTTTCGAAAAAAAAAGTTTAAATTTCATTTTATTTAAACTAAATTTTTCGAATTAAATGTGCAGCAAAATGTTGTGTACAAGAAAAATAAAGTACAAAGTAAGTGGCATTACAATGAAGTCATGAGATGTCCACATCAGATTTTTCAATTACGCTGCCCAGTGGTCGAGTGGATAACACTGCTATGCACTGGTAGTTCGACGCGCGTTTAAAACCCTGGGAGCGGGTTAGCTCCATGCATGTTTTGTGGTTTCCTCATATATAGGGGAAATGCTTGCCATTATCTCTTAGGCATATCAGGATTTCTGCCGCCCAGACGGTAAAGGGGTTAGGGGAGGCCATTACAGTACCAAAGGGATTGGGTTCGAATCGTGGAGTAGGTATGGATGGATATTTGTATAAGCATAGCGCCCTGGGGATCGACTGGTGGGATTACCGTAACCGAGCATTTATGGGAGGAGACCCGGAATTCTCCCAGACCAATGGCTGGACTTGTGTCCTACCAGCTTCGATTTGTTGGGTATATATATGATCAGACTTCACAGGACTAGAACCATAGGTCCATCCTATGGTAGGCGCGGGCTTAGCAGGGACCGTGCTGGTACTGTCGTGTCCGTTGCCTTTGCTGTGGGGAGGCGATCTCATGTAGATATTAAGCGCTGTGCCGGGGGGGACGGCTCCCCGCGCAGCCCTCAGTGTGATGGATTGTGGCGATGAACATGAGAAGTCCCTGCGGGCTTTTCGGTGGTTTGGCGCCCCACTGGCACAGTCAACTGAGGAAGGCCTCTGCATCATGTTAAGGTGCTCTAGAAGCTGCCAGGTAATGTTGCCCGACATAGAGTTAATGTATGTATGGGGACATTCTAAATATATGGCGAACCGAAAGTTCTGTCATGTGATTTGGTGGTAGAAGAGAGGGTGAAAGACCCTCGGACAACCCGCGGTTTACTCTCTCTCAGACTTGCAGTGTAAGGAGAAGTCCAACCTCCTTGAGACTCTGGCAACCATTCATCAATGAATTACATGGACAAGATAACAGCATGAAGGATTCTTTTATGAAGGTATCCTTCTCTTCTGGATAGGCAGGCTGATGAAAGAATGTGCTAGTCTACTTTGGCATAATACAATAAATTGATATCCAATCGTTTTAGTTTGCTTACTTTGACTCCTAATAAAGTAATCTGAATTTAGGAAAACTGCTGTAAACCTATTCAAAAATGACGAATCTCGATACGTGCGTGCAAAGTTCAGGTGTTGGGTTATTAGCCCATTTTCGGCATTTTGCATTGATCCACTTTTCAAACTGATGCCACCAAATATTATCGCCAGGTATTATATTTAAAGAAACTAAATATAATGAAGAATTTTCCTGAATACATTAATGTTTCTCGCATTGTGAGAAAACAACTGTACATAGAACCATCCAATTTTGATTATTGGTAAACTGGAAGCCCGAATTTAGAATTTTGGATATTATTGCCTATCTTGTATTTTGTAAAACTTTAACGAAATTTTGATTAAAAAGCTCAAAGATTTTAAAGCGAGCAGTGGCAACACTATACAGAAAAAACATTTTTTATCTCCAACGTGCGAGATTGTTTTTCAGTAATTCTAAAGATATGTAGTTGGGCTGTTTTTAAATATTCTGTGATATTGCTGTTGAATTTTATGTGGTTTAAGTGCGAAGAACATGATATTTAATAAATAAAGGTAACACACAAAACGTTAAAGAAACGTTCTTTTTTTGGGGGGTAATATTTATTTTTGCCATTTGTTATTTACTCATATGATATGAAAGCTCGTAACTTACATAAACAGTTTCCGTAATTTCAAGCATTTGGTTGTCTATTCGAATGTTTATTAAAACATTTAATTAACTTTTTAATAAAATTTCACCGCTAGCAATCTTAAGCGTAATAAATATTTAAAAATTGCTACCTATGATAATATTCAAATTACTGAGATGAAAAAAAAAGCTTGAATGATTGTTTGTATTTTTTACGAGGAAACTAACAACTTTAGCTAGCTCAAGAATTTTTTTTTTTTTACATAGAAATATACTCGTATGGCTTTCAGCCAGTTTTAAACAGGAATCTGAAGTCCTTTCTTTAAAGATTTCAAGAATTTATTCCTGTTGCAGAATCATTAGGTTATTTTTGATGAAAGGAACATGAAAAATGTGCAATGTACCGCCAGGACCTCTCGATTACGCGCCGAGTGTGCTACCCTTACTTAACAAAGGCATGCAGGAAGGATGGAATAAATACCTTACATACTCCCCCTTTTAAAGGGCGACTGAGGATTAGAGGACACAATCGCCAAATCCTGGTGGTGAAGAATCATCATTCACCACCTTTTAGTTGGGACGCCATCGTCAAGTCAGGAATTATGATTATTCTGAGGCAGGAGTTGTGAAAAATGGGCTATGCCCTAGTCGGGATTCTAATCGGGACCTCTCGAATACCCGCCGAGTGTGTTACAATTACACCAAGAAAGCTTGCAGAAAGGAGGAAGAAAATGCTTTGTACTGTTAACCTAATTTATGCAAACTTGGAAAACGTTTCTTCATCGAATGACGGGATTTTGCCTATTCAACGTTGGCCACACTTCAGGCCAGAAAAAGTGGCCATTTTATTGTGGAGGCTCCTAATAGGCCATCACCTTTGCCTTCTATGATGGGACGGGCAGTTACAACCATGCCTTCTCCGGTATTCGAACTCGGAGCTTTCTGTACCGCAGTAGGCTTCCCTAATCACTCTACTGTCTAGGTGGAATCTTCGAAACTTGGAGACTCATAGTGTTTATAATCTCTTCCGTTCAATGATAAAAAAGGCAATAATTCTAAATTTACATGTTCGAACAATGTAAAAGTATGCGTATCTGAACATTGAAAAAAATTCACATGTTATCCTACTCCTGGCTCTTAGATTAATGAAATATGACAAATATTCGAAAAACTTTGTAACAAAGAGATTAGAAAATCAAATAAATAAAAACTTACAATTTACATGTAATGGTACTAAGCGTGTAAAAAAGACCACTTTATCTTTCCCGTTGACACACCTATATGTTTTTTAAGAGCTAAATCTATTTCAAGAATATTCTTCCATAGAATTCTTCTTTTCTCAAAAGAAAAGAAAAAATTCAGGATTAAAGTAGTTTAAAAATTTTTACGTCGAAAAGAATCTTCAAAAATTTCCTTCTTTATAAAAGTTCAAAATCTCCAGGTGCGTATTTTCTGCTGTTACTGAATAAGCGTTTGAATGTTACAATAGTCCCCGCGAATTTTAGCTGGAAATTAAAAACAGGATGTATAGAGCGAGAATTATTTTAATTAAAATAATTTAATTAATTATTTTAATTATCTTAATGATGGCCAGCGAACTGTTGAAATTTCTTCCTGACGCTGTCTCAGAGAAGCCTGAATGCTATTGCTGAATAACAAATGGGATTTTTTGTCTTACTTATTTTTAAGGATTTTTTGTCTTACTTATCTTACTTTTTTTTAAGAACATTTGCTTTGAAAACTTCGTCGTGCTCAATATGGTAGATAAAACGTGCTCCAAAAGGAAGAAAAAGGAAACGTGAACTTAATCCAAAAGAAACTTTCACTTAATTATAAAAAACTTGTACTCGTAAAATTGTTTTCGTTTATAAAGAAATTAAAAGAAGATTGAAAGTAAGAAGAGAAATAAAATACTTCGTTCTTTTCTTTTCAACTAAACAATATTAAGAAACATATTAATACATTTTTATTAATAGAGATATGAGTAAATTTCTATACGTTAACGCAGCGATACTATCTAATAGAGAAGTAGATAGTTGTAACTAGGAATATAGGCTAGTAGAGAACAGCTAGATAGTTATGCTTCAATAAAACTGAAAGAAAATCGTGTAATATTAAGAAAAAAAAGCGCTCAAGCTTTTTTCACGTTTTTTTGTGGTACCTTTGTTTATTAAATACCATGTTCTTCGCCCTTAAACCATAAAATTCAATTCAATTCACAAATGTCACAAAATAATATCACAAAATATTACACACAGTCTCGCGCGCTGGAGATAATTCTGTTTCCTCACATTGCTCGCTTTGAAATCCTTGAATTTTTTAATCCAAAATTCGCTAGTTTGACAAAATACGAAATAGAAACTAAAACAAATTCCAGATTCCAAATTGGGCCGGTAAGAATTCGTTCCAGAATCTTCTCACTCCACGTAGAAAATTTCCAATTTTGTCGCCAAATAGGCAATTTCGCGCCAAAATTGGCAACCTAGACATTCCGAGCCATTTTCTGGCAACCCTAAACCCGCTTTGTGGGGAAGCTATCTCACCGCGGCTGGGCATCTCATAACAATATATATTTCGCTGTAAATGTGACAAATTATGTGTGTTTTTGTTTTGATTTCACATGCCGAAAATCGTTCTTTTTGTTTATATGAAAATTCTGACTAATACATTAAATCTAAATTTATTGGCAGGTTTTTTATAAGTTTCCAATACATGGAGTTCTTCAATGTGCGGACAGAGAATTTGAAGCTATTCTATTTATAGGTTAACAAGTTAGTAAATTTTTAAATTTCATTATTTTTTACTTTCTTTGCATTTGTTTTCTCTCTAATTTGCCTCTGTGCGTGTATTGTATGTATAGGAACAGCAAAAGATTCGCATTGGAAATATATGCTATAAATAAATCGTAAATAATTACTGATAGAGCAATATGCGAGGTTAAATTCTATAAATCTTCTACTATTCAAAACGTCATGTTGTATAGAGTCAAAAAGTAAATCCCTCTAACCGGCAGGACCGTCTACTATATACGGCCTAGAATATCTTTTGTAATATCTGTACGAACGTGTATATACGTGCATATTAAAATATGTCAAACAAATCCAGTATCAAATCCAGATGTTTATAATAGTTTACAGTATAATAGTTTAGGGTCGTATAATGATAAGTAAGTTTGATGTATAATAGTAGTATTGAACCAGACTTTCTTGGTTGTAGAACTTTGTAAATATGTATTGAAATATTTTGCTGGATTTAATGTTTTGAAATGACTCGTATTCTAACTCTTCTACAATATATTATATTCCTAATTTCACTGTGACTGTTTCCAAAGGTTATTGTCTAGTGTTCTTTTGATTAGTTTTAGCGTTACAGTACAGCATCATGTACAGAATTGTCTACTTTTCTGTTACGAGCAGTGTATATGTTGTGTGTTATTTGTAGTATCAGTTTTACTATGTTAGTGTGTACTTTTCTTATACGAGCAGTGTATATGGTGTGTTTATTTGTAGTATCAGTTTTACTATGTTAGTGTGTTGTTCAGTATTATAGTAATATATTGCATAATATTTTTTTTTAAGTAATGTGCGGAATTATAGTAAGTGTATAATAGCAAGTCAGTGTGATATATAACTGCAGGCTTGAAATCCCAATGTTGGTCTTAAATTTTACTGTTTTTGTTTTACCTTTACCAGTTTTGTATCAATGCAACTTTGTACTTCTAAGTTTTTTTTTTTTTTTTTTTTTTTTTTTAAATCTATGCTATCAGGAATGTCATATGTATTCAAGGTAGTCCTTTGTATTCTCTATCTAGATGTGACTCTGTAATCTTTTTTTTTTATTTTTTTTTAAATTTAGACTTAATAAATGTCTGCAGGGCGGACATCATACTGCAAGGGCTTGTTCCCGGTCAGTAGTCCTCCTTAGCAGTGTAAAAGTAAAAAAAAAAAGTATCGAATACAGTCAAAGTATACAAATACAGGTATAAAATACCGAGAGAATTTTTGCATTAAAATCAAGAATATAATTTTTTCTTATAATTAAATTTTGGGAAATTTGCGCTTTCATAGCGAAAACCCTGGCCCGTCAGAAGGTTATAAGACTCGGACTGTGATTCGTCGATTGAAAATGCTTATGATATTCTTAACGGGGAGAGAAGGACTTAGAAAAGTGAACTTTGAAACCACTAATAATATCCAACAATTCCCAGCTATAAAAAGAAACAGACTTCTGAAAAGGACCATGAAATTGCGTATAGTGGGAAGCAAGCATTGTATTAAAATCTATTGTATTTCACTTAGTCACTATTCTCACTTCTACTCTTGGGAGACGTGATTCTTAACCGTCAGCTGTTACACAAAGGATATTATCCGACATATCAATTTAACCGACACATGCTTCGCTGACATGTTTTCCTTAATCGATACGCGCAGGTAAAGATGTTTCGATAAAAAACTTCCACACTTAACCTAGAAAAGGCCATTCCTAAGGCTTACCACGAGGATGTATATGGACAAATACCTCATTTTCCGCCATTACTTAATGCAGGGGAAAGTAAAAATAATTAAAGACTTGGTGTACAAATAACAAAACAAGTTAGAGTAAACGTTATACATCATATAGTACACGAATAATTAAGTAATTTAAAAGAATACCGCTGGTGGGAGGTGTTAGCAAACTGATGTAAACAAGGTTCGGATTTGTTTACTTGACTATGGCAAAGCACTCGAGAGCTATCTGCTAAGAGGAGAGATGCCTTCATGGAGGACGTTCTGAGGGAAACTGGTCCGTATATACGTTACACATGCGCAAAACTACGAAATCTCCCAGCGGACGAGTGGTAAACACTGGTAGTTTGGTTCGGGGTTTGAATCGTGGCTAACTCTTTAGCTGCATGGGCGTTTTCGGTTTTCCCATTGTGTAACGTGCATACGAGCCAGTTTACCTTGGAAAGTCCTCCCCGAAGGCATCCGTCCCTTAGGCAGATAGCCCTCGATTGCATTGCCATAATTAAATAAACCAAAACGAACCCTCGTATTATATATACATTTTTCCTTTGTCTCCCGGTTTTCCAAATAAGAGGTAACCTATTTCTATATTATTACATATAAGGACCGATTTAACTAATTTCAATTCTTTTGCAAACTGGAGGCCCACCACCTGCTGAGCGGTAACGTCGCTGAACACTGGTAGTTCGGCCCGTGGTTCAAATCCCGCGAACGGGCTGGCTGCATGGGTGTTCAGTTTACCTTAAAAGCTCTCCACGAAGGCATCCCTCGCTTAAGGCAGATAGCCGTCGAGTGCTTTGCCGTAATCTAATAAACCAAACCAAATTGAAGTCTGCAAACTGGAATGTTTGAGCCTCTAACGAGGACTGTTTTGAAATTATACTTTTTGTAATTATTACATAATTTATTATCACTAATCATTCTCTTTGATGCACTAATCGTTCTATTTGAATACCCAAGCAGCCAGCACGTTCGTCTGGAATCAAACGCAGGTCGAACTACCAACGTTCAGCGATTTTACCGATCGGCGGTTTCTGGCGATATAAATAAGGATTATGATTTATGAATGTACTTACCAATGCTGTCACTTCTATTATGATTATGGTTTAGTTTTGGTTACTTAAAAATGGCAGAGCAAACGAGAGATATCTGCCTAAGAGAGGATGTCTTCGTGGAGAGTTTTTTAAAGGAAACTTACTCACATTTACGTTATACATGGGAAAAAAACCACGAAACCCGAACATGCTACCAAGCTGTTCGCATAGATTTGAGCCTAGGCGAACTAAGAACATTTAACAGTTAACCTATCGACCTCTGGTGGGTCTTCCTGTTATTAATTCAAAAAAGTAAAAGTAAAAATGTATCATTCTTATATGCTAAAATTTTAACATGCAGCAGAAGTATACATAAATGTATATGTCGGTTAAATATACTAGTCGGTTTAGACGATAGTGTTTATTAACGTTTTCTTTATTGCACACCATATCATATATAACATTTTTAAAGCTGTTTCGTTGCTTCTAAACAATGACTTGAATTATTTATGCTATATCTAGCATCAAATACAGATAAAAATGCGGTATTTGTCCGTAATACTCTCGTGGTGTATCGTAAAACTGTCTGTAATAGGTATATGAAATTTTTACTAAGAGAGTTTCGGATGCCTGGTAAATAGATGTGTCAGCTAAATCGAGATGTCATCTAAATGCCCTAGCGACTAAGCATCTGGTTGTTTAAATGGCTGCCCGCTTATCTTCGCAACTGCTCCTTTGTATATGCACACATTGTACACAAAAAGGGGGTACAGTTTTATATCCTCCGTTCTACTAGATCGGTTGTCGAAATTGAACTTGCTTTTTTCGTTTCTCCTCGAAAGAGCGACTTAGGATATATATTAGAATTATATTCATATTGTTCTAATGCAGGTACTTGGACAAAAAATCGGACTTTGTCCGAAATAACATACCAATTTTTATTTCCATATTTCGATTTTACGACTCAAACTATGCCTAGATATTAAAGTTTCCGGCTAATCTTTGGAATATGGTAACAGGTAGTTTGGCGACATTTTGGTAAGGCGATAAAGGTTACTAGCTAGGACTTTAGCATTAATCTGAGAAGTACACAGTTCGAATCACATATTATATTGTCTCGGAGAAATGAGGGATCATGAGACATGTCATGTGACATTTTCCGGAAAATATCGATCGTGATTTTAGTTAATAAGCACTTAGAAACAATTTCGCTGCTAAAGTGCAGAATCGCCACTTATTTGTTAGGCGCTTTTTTACAATAAAAATTGGATTTTTGTCAATTTTCTTTGACTTTTTAAGTGAAAATAGTTTGATGTGTACATGGATAAAGTCAAGAGTGTGCGCAATGCCATTTTTGTGCAATTCTGGGATTTTTTTTAAGTGAAAAGAGGTCGACTTGTACATGGATACCGCGTATGTGCAATTCTTAAAAACGCTCGAAGCAGTGGGCGATTCTGCACTTTCTCCCAATTTCGCACCTATTGTTCCATAAAAGTTCTAGCATAAGCGTAATTCGGCTAGCAGATTGTTGGAAAAAATGTTGAGTTAAAAAAAACAGCCTTTACTTCGTGAAAACAAAATGGCGTCCAAAAAAAAATCTAGCAGGTTGCTGTAAAAGCTTTGGTCGCCAAATTTTCGCCCAAAAATCGCCAAGTTACCATAATCCGAAGATTTACCAAGTTTATAATTTTTTGTGAGAAATTTATGGAGAAATTTGAAAGTTCACCTTGTCGCTTTTTTTTTTTTTTGTTTTTTGTTTTTTTTTTTTCAGGAGCACACCCAAGAATAATTCCCTCGCGATCTTCTTAATTTATAGCGACGTATTTTTTTTCACTCTATATGAGCGGGAAAAAAATCAGCGTTCTGACTTTTAAATAGTTTTAAAAGTGCATAAACCACATTTTCGCACCGCTTATAATAAATATGACAAATTTCAACTTCAAAAAGCGCCAAAAGGTGAATTCACGTATGTTTTACGAAATTTTGAATTCAAACTCTAATTTTTTGCAGTTGTGCCTAGAAATACATCTAATTTAAGTGGATGTTAAAAATTTTATAGGTTATAATCCAAGCTTTTTTTCAAAAAATCTATAAAAAATTATTTTAAAATACAAATTTTAAAAATAAATCATAAAAAATGGGCGAATGTCATTTGGAATGAGCTTGCTTGAATTTCTAAATATGAAAGGAAGAATAAAAATGTGTAATAAAAAAGAGGTATTAATAAATATA